CATGTGAGCTGTTGATCAGCTCCAGCTCCTACTCATGTGAGCTGTTGATCAGCTCCTTTCATATGAGCTTGAAATGGTGTGCTAGCTCCCGCTCTCGGAACTGATATGGAACTGTCACACCCCTAGTCAGAAGTGATGTGATTGTCGAAGACGTTATGGTTGGTGGTGATGGTTTCAAAATAAAATTATCGAGTGTTTTAAACGGCTTTTTCGGTGTTTTCACGTTAATTTTCTATCTAAAAATAAACCGCTTAATAGTACGTAGTCAAATGCTATTCTTTTTCTTTAAATCCTTACAAATCTCAAACCGTATTTTTTTCCCCAGAGCGTACTGCGTACGCCCTGGAATCAAGCACAAAGCTTATATCAGAGCGTATTTTCAATTTAGTTCGCGTACCGTGCGCTTTGGAACAAAGGCGTACGCGTAATGTTAGAAACACTGGTCAGTGTGTGTGTGTGTGACATTTTGCATATTCCCTAGCAAGCCCTAACCGAAGAGAGGTGTGAGCGTTCGCCGTGATTCAATGTCAGCGAAGATCCATCGATGTAACTACGACGGACATACCTACGCACTGATACTATTGTTAAGGACGAACATGCACATATTCCACAACTTGCTTTGAATAGGTTCCAAGCGAACGCTCGGTCGTGAACGTTATCCCTGATTCAAAGTCATTGAAGGTCATTCGATACTACTGAGACGGACGAACATACACAGATACTAATGTGACGGACGTACCTACACATATTCCAGGACATACCGTGGACAGTCCGCTAGCGAACGCCGACCGGAGGGAGCTGTGAGCGTGAGCTATAAGTTGATAAGGTCAAGTTACCGAGCGGATGTAGACGATCGGTTGTGTTGTGTATATATGCAGCGAGCGACCAGCACTGTTAAAAACTGTCACGTTGTAAACGTTGTTACCTGCGACAGATACTAGGACGAAAACTAGTCCAGTAGCTGACCATCCCCATCGTGTGAGGGACCCACATACCGACTTATTGTGGATAGTCGTACATACACATACTCCGCAACATATTCTGGATAGTCGGCTAGTGAAACGCCGACCGAAGGGAGGGTTGAGCGTTCCGTTGGATTCAAACTGATTGAAGGTCGTCCGCACATATAAGTTCGTCAAGTCAGAGGTGCTACCTTGTGTCTATGTGCAGGGAGTGATCAACAGTGTGAAAAACTGTCGCGTTGCAAACGAGCATTACCTGCGACCGATACCACAACGAAAACCAGACCACTACCTGAACGGCATCGAGCCTTTGGTGGAGAGTCAGCGAGCTAGCGAGCGTTACTTGTCTAATTATAATGCCATAAATTTGAAAACGTCTTTCACAGCGTTATAACTCATTAGATAGTGACCATCGTGTAGCAACGAGTTAATATCTAATAAGATTACAATGCATTATTTTTTTCTATCCCTTTGCAATGACATAAGAAAATGGAACTCGGTACACGACAGGTATTAATGCGTTACAACGAGTTGGAGAATATCCAAAACGAAAATACATGGTTTTCTCTTCATCACGCAAAAATTTTATTAAGTTATTAGTTACCGTTATCAAGCTCATTACGACAGCAAAATCACTTTTTTACAAATTCAACCGCTTCTGCTTACTGAAGCATATAGAAAAATGTATAGTGTGTAAGAAAAATTTCAGTCCGAAAGTGTATAGAAAAATTTCAGTCTGCTATGTACGTTCTACACGCACAGTCTTTTATAGTCCCGCGCTCGGCACTTCCACATAGCATCGATATTCTATTATTATTATATTGGTTACTCGTGCGTTTGTGCTTTTTCACCTCTCCCAAGTTATTCATTATTCAACTTCGATTTCTCAATGGCGACTTAGTGCTCTCTGAGAATGATGCGGTTCATTGATCGCAACGTGCGTGAAGGATTGTTTCACTAGAAAATTAGGTGCTCGTCTCGTGCTGAACCAAATTAGATAAAAACTGCGTGCCCAATTGCAGAATTTCTCGGTGAATTCGACAGCAGGTTCCTTTTGATTATATTTTGACTTCGTCTCCTTCACAGAACAAGCACTAAATTTTCTAATAACTCTGAGATAAATGAGAATCACAAGAATCGAACCCTTAAAATTTGTATAAACCAAGCAACATTTGTAATTAACATGGCAGAAATATGAAAGCGATTTTATTAATTTTTGAAAATATACCCGTTTCCGATTTTAACACAGTTCATGTATGAAATACTCGTGAATTTAATGGTAGGAAAGTCGATGACTGCTTCTCATTTATTGACAGCGATGAAATGGATGCTGATTTTATACCACGTGAAAGTATGATTTCATGAAATGACAAGAATTTTATCGATTTTATTCAAAATCGGGTGAAGGCTTTTACGTTGTTCTCAAAAATCAATAATAACTTAAGATGTAAAGGTAATTGGACGAATGATGAGTATTCTTTGTAGATGTTCATGATGTGCTGGAAAGTAAATTATTTTTTGGTTGAACGGACCAAAGTCTGAACTTCAGAAAACAATGTAATTAACATAGTTAACCGAAAACGTTTTCTGAAGTTGAGACATTTCAACCAAAAAATAATTTACTTTCCAGCACATCATGAACATGTACAAATAATGCTCAAAATTCATCGAATTAGTTTTTCATCGTAGGTTAAGTTCAGTAAAGATGAAAAACTCGATTTTGAATCAATTTCAAACTGTGCAATGTTACGCTTGATTGTATGTAGACTTCTTTAAACTCTCGTACATTTATCGTGGAAAAACAAAACAATATTATTCATGTTGACTCAATAAAAAATGGCTATCTATGAAATTTTAAAAAATATTCATGTATTTTTGCATGTATTACCGGAGCTCTTTCCTGTTCCTGTTTTCCTACTTTCCTGTATCCTATTATGCTGTTGTAATTGTTCATAACCGGTAAACAATAAATACATTTGATAGAATTAAATAGAGGTGAAACAAAATAAAAGGATATATTTACATACCTTTTACAGAATACCAGCAATACATGAAAGTTCTGCTGGTTTGTGAATCTGAAGCCTCTTGATACTGACAAGCGGCAACAGCATCACCAACTTCTTTCAACACATCCAAATTTTCACCTCTCACAAAGTGAGGGCGCGGCCTGTCCTGGATGTTACAAAGTATTTGAAACAGATAGCAAAAATCAAGGAAATTCACTTCAAATTCAAGATCAAGTCACTAAGTATTTTGCAGCTTTCACCATCAAACTTCCGTCTTTTTTACGGGACCGTACTTCAAAGTCCCGAAAGTCCGTTCAAGTAGGCGGACTTTGGGAACTTAAAAAGATCTGAGTGGACTTGGGAGGACTTGACGGGCAATACGTTGCATTTGATAAAGTTTCTTATTGTGATAATACTTGTTCGAAATCGTACTCTCCTAATGAAATAGACTTTTGGGCTTATGATCGTGTACAAACAGTTCAATATGTAATATAATTTAGCAAGTAACTTCATCGCATTTCATGCTCAGTTTCCCAACATTCATCATCTCAAAATGACAGATTTTCGCAACCGTGCTGTGACAAATTGAACGTCAAACGGAATAGCAAAGCTTAACACGAGTGTCAACTAGATGCCTCAACAAACAACGCGTTCTGATGGGAATCAAACGTCACTCCTCTGTCGTACTGAACAAGAATTCTATTGTCGATTCAGCATGTTACTATTCTTCTAAATTTTATAATGTCAGTTCTTCTAGTATCTTTAATTGTGTTGTCAGTTGTTGCTCTTTAATTTTTTATTACATGCTATTGTTTTTCGGAATTTATTGTATTTTGTTGCCTCTTTTATTTGTTGTACTTAAATGTAGATACAGACTCTGATGAGTGTTTTATTTTAATAAAGAACATGAAACGTGTTAGGGAAATAAACTCTGCATTTCTTTATTTTTGACAAAGCACATCTATTAATTTATTTTTTCGATCAAATCGATTGCTAAGAAGCAAGAGTTGGGACCAGCAGACTCGATTTGTTTTTCACAGATAGGTTAGTCTGGTTCGTTTTGAATTTGAGTAATTCATATGTGTAGGTAATCGTCGAATTAGTCGCTTGATGACACTATTAAATTCATCTTTATATGTTTTTGATGGTAATACAAATACGATAAATGTCACCATCGATGGTAAAAATGAAATTAAATAACCAAGAAGAAATAACCATGAATTACGTGGTGATTTCATACATTCACCAATAAATGATATGATTAGACGTGGTAATGCTAACAATGCCAATGTACATGATGCAATCAGATGATGTTTATGTTGTTTGAATTGTACTTTTAAATGTTCTTTGAATGATAATCGTGCTTGTACAGTGACACGAGAACGAGCTATTAAGATGATAATGAATAGAATAGAAATTAAATTAATGGAAAATGGAATAAGAAAATGAAAGAGAGTGATAAACGAGTTGAAAATATTGATTGAAGAAGAATATTGAATTAAACACCAAGTTCGTTGTTCATCTGTGTCAATATCATCAATCAAATGACGATGTAGAGGGATATGAAGATGAGTAATAAATGTTAAAAGAATGATACTTAAAGTTATCCATTTAGCTATTTGTTTACTTTTAGATTTGCTAAAATTAACACTTTTGATAACAGTAAATACTCGTTCAGCAGAGACACATCCATCAAGCCAATCATTTGAAGCCAAAAGAACTTGAAGAATCATATCTAATAATATACAATTTAAAGTAAGCAATGATCGATTAGTAAGAATAGCCATTTGAGATAAAACTAATTGCCAAAATTTGATGATCAATACACTTACTGTTAATATAGAAATCCATGAAGAAACTAATAGATAAAAACCACAACCCACATCTCTTGTTTTCTTCATGCTAAATGTCGATATAGATAAAATTCCACTGATCGATCCAAAAATGAACATAACTGTTGTGGCGGCCACACTCATTTTAACAATTAATGGTTGTCGAAAAAATGAGACATTTGGTTTAATATGATAACCAAGAATATAATCAAGTGATAAAACAAAACCTCTTGTTGAAAATTGACATTTTGTTCCATAATAACAATCTGGACAAACACATACTGATACACTTGGACATGTGATATTGTCTTGAAAACATTGACCACCATATTTACAATCACTGTAACCATGACAATCATAAGTGGTTGAATGATCGAATGTGAAACAATTCGAGAATCGATCCAAATCACATATACACATATAGTTTTCATCATAAAAGCACATCAATTGTTGATGTTGTCGACATAAAAGAGGATAGTATTTAATACGCTTCAAACGAGAATAAGATCGAAAAGTCGTGTTTAATAGTTCATGTACAGAGACACATCTTTGCTTCGATGTTAATTTAGTTCGAATATATTCTGATTCAATAAATGTTTCTCTTAATACAATCAAATAATAATTTTGATTAAATAATTCAGCAATGAGAATATGAAATGGTTGTGTGACCAAGAGTGTAATTATATTTTCGTCATATTTGATCTTTTTCACTGTTGTTGTACGTTGATGTTTAGAATTTTCAAATGCAGTGATATAATGTATAAATACAGCTGTCGCTCTTCCAAATATTTCTTCATTAAATTCAATATCAATTCGATTTTTAGTATTTTCACATTTTGTTCCATAAAAATTTTCTTTACACAAACATGTAAAGTTGTTAAGAGCAATACGATCATCGATAGGCACACAAAGTCCATTATTTTCACATGGATTCTTTGATGATTGACAAATTAAATGTTTTAAATAGCATTTTGGACCATATTTGTTCATTGGACAAATACAAATAGATGAAGTGTGACAAAATGAATCCAATGAACAAGAACAGTTTTGTTGAATATCACATTGTAAACCCGAATAACCCTGATCACATTGACAAAAATATAAGAAATTCTTATTTATATATCGTATGCATCTACCACGATTTCCGCAGAGTAATGGACAAGATTCTGATTGTTGAATATTTGGAATGAATAATTGAGCAGCTATTCGATTCACTGGTAGAAATTGAAAAGGAATCGATAGATGCCAACTTGCCCAATATGTCAGTGTAATTTTATCAAAAATATCGATATGTATTGAATAATTAGTCGAAGAACTTTTCGGTTGATGAGGATAAAGTAAATAGATATTAAATTTTGTGTCACAATCACGTTTGGGTACAAACGTAATTTGTTCATGATATGATGTGATTTGTCTCTGTTCATCAATAATCATGATAATGACTTGATATACGGGCATGAAAAATGTAGTAGAACGATATATTAATTGAAGTGTTAAACTAATACGTTGATTTTGCCATTGACATCGATCACCAAAATAACTCGGAGGACAAAGGCATTTAATAGTTTTATTGTTTTCGAACAGTATTAGAATTCCTCGATTACAATACCAACTTTTGTCGTACTCGTGTAGAATGGGAACGGTGGACCTCTCAAATTGAACAGCTTGTCGAACAGAGACAATAGTAGAGGTAGATGGAAAATAACTTAATCGAGATGTTCTTAGAAATCGTTTTGGTTCTCTTCGAAAAAGTCCTTGTGATGACAATGCACATTCAATGTTGCCACTAATGAAAGCTGCTATATGATAGGCAGGTGGCAGTTTAGTGTCTATTAAACAGACATCTTCATGGGCCATCGGTAATGACGGTTGACCCAAACAAATTTGTTCTGACATAATACATTTTGTTTGATTCCATAAGAAATAATTCATAGAATCGTTAAATATTACGTTATTAAGATAGATATGACGAAAAAAGAAAGTCTCACAATTTGATGTTTCCATTAGATGAAGTATCGGTACACAAATATACTCTTTTGAGAACCCAATTTGACACCTATGTTCGTTTGATAAACACTTTGTTCCACGACAGTTAAGTTCGTCGGCACCGTTTAGACAATGCCAAACGTTATCACATTGAACATTTGGAGTGTTACATGGCCACCATTCACAATGGGTTTCATCGGTTTCATTCAACATATTCATCCATAACAAATCATTTTCACCATCACAAAAAAGTCCAAACGGTATGCTGCCTTTTAAAATATTTCGTTGATTCTTAGTCAGTTCATCTTCTCCATTTCGACAATTTTGATCTCCATTTCCAAGTGCAATCATTGACAAACATTTATTTGGTTCAGATTCACAAATAAATCTCCATGAATCATTTAATTGACAAGCAGGAAATAATTCATCTTCTCCGTAATAACAATCATTCCAACCATCAACTAGTCGATGTTTTGAGATGCATTTCAATGAAAGTGGACAATGAAATAAGGACGAATGTAAACAGTTTTGATCTGTACCAATCGTTGAACAGCGACGAACGAGATCTGTAAACGTTTCCTCTAGCCACCTGCCTATTGTCGCATTTATTAGACCAACAGTTCTGCAACAATTGAGTTCCGTATTCATTCCAATATCTACCGAGCAAGATGCCAATGCAGGACACCGACTTACATTAAAACAAATAAAGTCAGGTATAAGACTTGTCTTCAAATCAGTAACTGATCGATTAGTTAAGTAAACAAATTGAAAGAAGCCATACATAATGGGATATTCAGGTGTAACAAGCCATTTTGACGGGCAACGATTGACAAGAGATTCGCAGCTATTTTCTGTCGGTATTTGTATATGTGAAAGAATCTTATTGATACGAAGTAAACAATATAATGCCAGCTGACAATCTAAGTTCGAAATATAATCGAGCGAAGTGAACATAGTTGATGTCATTTGCACATCACGTCTACTAGCACAACCCGGTTGAGAACGTGGTATCAGATGTTCTTTAAATTCACCATCACCGCATGGAAAAGTTAAAAGACGTCGACTTGAACTTTCCTCACATCGAAATGTCGGAAGTCCGCTGCATACAGCATTGAAATAGGTAACTGCCTTATTCTCACTAACTTCGTCAGTAGTGTCAAGACAGTCTGTCATAGTGTGTCCATCATTAACAAATGTTGATGGAATGCACTGTCCGCCGAAATAACATCGAAATTCATTGTCGGAACATTCATTCACTTCCAATATTTGACACAACTGCTCATCTTCTCCATTAATACAATCAAACTTACCGTCACAAATTTCACGCCAATCGAGACACATGGGTGATGGACCGCGATAGCAGCCAGTTAAAAACGAGTAGCACGTACCAATCGTGAAATTTAAATCTGGTGCAAAAGTACGGGGCGTAATAATAAACTGAACGACATTACTGAATGGAGGTAGTATGTCATACTCAATGCTGTATTGACATGTAGGACCAAACCAGGGCGATGAACAATTGTAGAATACTTCACTTGAATTTTCCCCGTTTTTTTCGTATCGTTCTGCAACGTCTATCGGTGCTGACCAACCAAGCAATTGTGCACTTGTCACACCTTGTCGATACAATTCAGTAAAATTAATGTTATTTTCTACGTTTTCATATGATCTTATAGATAAATTTTCTTGTTCTTCATTTTGATCAAGCCGTTGGCAATAAGGAATTAAATGATAATTAATAATATAACGTGCATCTCCATCTTCTACATAGTCCCTTAGATAAGCATACAGACAATCGAATGTAGATTTCAAGTCCTGTCGATCATCAGAATGATATAAAGAATAACGAGCATCAAGTATCATAAACGATACGAGACATATCAGTAATTGTATCAACCTCATCGTCAACTGAATCAGTCAAAATATTAATGATTTTTTAACGTTTCATAGTTTTATCTCAGCAAAAACTTATTTGTCCTACTCGTTCTCTTTCGGAAACAGATGTGCTTCTGGCGTCTAAATGTAAGTAGTAAATTCCGGACTTTCTTCCTGATATTTGTTTGAACAATAAAAAATCATGTTGATAAAAGTACATTTTAGAAAAGCAAGACTCAAAAGAACTCAGATTCATTATCAAATATATTTAGCATATGTTACTTCATTATCCATGTCATCACTTTATTACGTACGTCCAGGATAATCAAAATCAAAATCAATTGCATGTACATATCAAAGTTTCTATCGACATTTTACATCCTAAGTTGTAATATTATCTGATTTCTTTACTTTCTATTTGATTCTGTCAACTAACTATGTCTAGTTTTTGATCTTTCAATTCCTTTTACAGTTTCTGCTCAAATAGAGATCAATTGATTTCACGTGACGAGCTTGAAATCAATTTGTAAGATTATCTAAATAAAAACTAAATGTTATCTTTTTCTTTGCAAACGTTCGCTCATCACATTCGTGTAATGAACGTTGACCAAAGTCAAATTAGAAGAAATAAATTCATACGTAGTTTTCACTTTATATACATTCTTCCAAATATGTCAATTGAGTAATACGTTAGTTTCTTCTGTGAAAGTGCAAATCAGATATCGCTCTTGTCTGTGTTATCATAAATAATCTCATCAGTTCATTCATCATCTGTGCATGTATCAGAAACGCCGATTGTTTCATCAGTTCAATTGAAGGTAACAGACTCCTTTTCTTTATCAGATATGCAAATGTACTTCTTTCTTTTTTCACAAGCTGATAAACATAAAAAAAGGATGTTTCCTCTTATATTTATCCAAAAAACCGTTGCAAATCCGACTTTCTTCATGTACATTATCTGTTCTTTTCAAGTGTTTTAATTTATGGCAGATGTAGTTACAATGTAGTTAAGATGGCCAATAAATTTAAAGTGATTTGTTTGTCTCAAACAGGTACAATCACAATACACTTCTGAGATTTAAAATCTTTCTGAAATTGAAGTTTATACTGTACCAAAAATACTTAGATATGCATATTTATATATTGCAGATCTGAACAATTGCTGGTCTTCATAACGAAGTAGTGTGATTCGCATTTTAAACCACTAAACATACGAAAGTTTTATGCAGATGATTTTAAATAAATTCTATTAAAAGTGGTGGAAATGAAGTTTCAGAGCTAAAATATCAGTAGTTAATATTGTATATATACACATGTTTTCTCTCATTCTGTTGAACTTAATTTTATGTACAGTATGTTCTCATGAAAATGACTGTATGAACAGTCGAAACGTTGAGGAATGTTAATTTTAATTGAATAAAATATGGATGCTACTTTTGTCAAACGGTTAGTAGAATGTCAGTTTTGAATCAGATATTCACTATCAAAATAGATGTTAGATAGTTTTAAAGAAGGTAATATAATCAATCAGTCTACTGTATCAACTGTAATTAATTTGAAAATAATATAAAATGATGAAACTAATCAAACGCTAAATCCACTTTCTTGTTGAATAACAAATGTTTATAACAACGATATCATACTATATAGTTCGAAGCTTTGAGTATTTCTTTTTATAAGTAAATAAATACATCTCCCATTGAACCTGATCCTGAAAACGAACGAATCTTTATGAAGGTACCTTTGCAAATCAAAAAACAAGAAAAAAATCATTTTCAAAAAATTAGGTAAGTCTTTCCTTTTTCTTTTGGCTTTTTCCGCTTTAATTTCGTCTCGTTCGATTTGTCATTATTTGTCAAAACATCCTCACCTATCAATTTTAAATAAACAAAAAAAGAAATACTCAAAACTTCAAGCTATATAGTATGATATCGTTCTAGTATGTCGTCGTTGATTTCTCTTGTTTTGATAACTTCGCTTTATTATGGTTAAATAATTGTCGTCATCACACATAATCCAACTAAGCATTGTCAGCAAAAGGGGTGTTTTCTGTATACCATCATATCCGACATAACGTTTTTATTTATAACTACATCTGCCATAAATTAAAACACTTGAAAAGAACAGATAATGTACATGAAGAAAGTCGGATTTGCAACGGTTTTTTGGATAAATATAAGAGGAAACATCCTTTTTTTATGTTTATCAGCTTGTGAAAAAAGAAAGAAGTACATTTGCATATCTGATAAAGAAAAGGAGTCTGTTACCTTCAATTGAACTGATGAAATAATCGGCGTTTCTGATACATGCACAGATGATGAATGAACTGATGAGATTATTTATGATAACACAGACAAGAGCGATATCTGATTTGCACTTTCACAGAAGAAACCAACGTATTACTCAATTGACATATTTGGAAGAATGTATATAAAGTGAAAACTACGTATGAATTTATTTCTTCTAATTTGACTTGGTCAAGGTTCATCAACCACTTTTTTCATCAAACCCGAGTGAGGGGGAGACAGGTGGATTTTCAAGTGGAGCCCCAGTAAATCCACCAAGCTCCCGGGAGATTCCCCATGGCGATCCCCTACACTCGTGCGGTGGCCCTCCGGGGAGTTTGGTGGATCACAAGGGGAGTTTTCTTGGGAAGCGTGGTAGATCACCTTGGGGTGGAGGGGATTCATATAGATAGAACTAAGAGTAACTAACTCATTAGACTCGTACGCTTTTACTATGTATCTGGTAACGATATACACTTTCCGCATTTGTTTCATATAGCCCACTTTCGTTTCCTTAGAACATGATCTTTACATCAACAATGGTTACACAAAAGATCAAATGACATAAATGCTAGGATAAATGAATCAAAATGAGAATATACAAAAAGTCGAAAATGTGTACAGTACCTCTGAGTAGAATATCCTGGCTTAAATCTTGACAATTGTAAGTGCTAATCACTTCATGTTTTGTGGACGATTAATGCTAATTGTCCACAAAGTTAACTAATAAATTACACGCGCCGGAGCATGCTGACTTCAATTTTGATACTTACAGCTCAAGAAATAGTCTAATTTCGCTTAGTTTTGCTATATATGATATGCTTCCGACTTAAATCTTGACAATTGTAAGCGCTAATCACTTCATGTTTGTAGACGATTAATGCTTCGCGTTGGAGCCACTTTGCAGCTACATTATAACTCAGATAAGACAGTTGCTTAAACCAAAACCATCATTTTCTGTACTCACGTACCCATACTATATGACATTGAAGTCAATGTATGATTTACGGCAAACAAAAAAGTCTTTCAAAAGTGGTACAAACGTAAAATTTTTACTTAGGTCAATCCTACCTTGCAACGACTCTTAAGGTAGAATTAATTAGAATGTACTTCACTGTGATTTTTACGTTTATCTGACGTACACCAGTTATACAGATCAGCTTTGGCGAATTAAATAGTCCTTTGCTGTTATGAAGTCTTTTCTTTACACCTAGCCGTTAAAACACTTAGATCATTCGGGAAGGGAACTACAATCTACTTCAGGTTTCAAATATTAATATTCGTACTGTGTATACCATAGCTAAATTACAAACATTAATTTTTGTTTCGTATTTTTTTACTCTCTACCTAATTATACTGCTTTTAACTTTATATTGAATTTACTTGATACTTACTGGTTAGTGTTATAGAGAATAAGACAATCCTAGCCAGTAAATCGCTAATACTCCACCTAACTAGCACGATTCGAAGAGAAAGCCGGAAAGTCATCGTAGTCAAAAAGAGTTTTTTATCAGCTGAATATAAAAGAAAGTATGATATTTCAAACATTAATCATCAATATAGAAGCTACATATCTCAAAAACTAAAAGGATCGCTTTTCTAAAAAATAGATCAATATATAGTACAATTCATGTACTTCAAATTACTAGTAAAAGTGGAAAAGGGTCCTCTCCAGTTAATTTTATTTTAATACGAGAAGTTGGTAGAATATAAGGAAAATTCACAGTGAGCACCGCTTCTTTCGAACGTAGAATAAATGACGTCTCGATAAAACAATAAAAAATTTTCTTTCATTACTTTGTTCTTCAAGAAAAATAGCGTAAAAAACACATATACGAGCACATAAGGAAAATATATAAGGCGGAAGAAGACTAAAATCAAAGTAAAGAAAAGTAAACGAAGTGTGTTTGTTGTCTACTGTTGGGTACAGTGTAATATACAATGAAAACTCACAGTGCAGAATCTGAATCCAAAAGCTGTCACTTTTGCCGCGGTGAGCGAAATGCTGAGAAAACTTAGCTGTATGCATAAATTAAATGAATATGCCGACACCATAAATTTTATAACTTGATTTTAACTTTCCTCTGGTGTCGTCATAATCTATGCGATTTTCTGCCTTATTCTGATGGCCAATAGCAATGGTTCTATTGACTCCATTAAGCGCGTCGTAACACCTAGCATATCATATATAGCAAAATTACGCGAAATTAGACTATTTCTTGAGCTGCAAGGATCAAAATTGAAGTCAGCATGCTCCAGCGCGTGTAATTTATTAGTTAATTTTGTTCAAACGCGGGATTTTTCTTCATTAATTATTAATGAATTGGCGCATAAGTAAACACTTGAGCAAGAAACAGTCGTTGGGGATTCTTTTCTCAGTCCTAGTTACATTGTGTTTTAGTCGGACGTTTTTTCGAGAACATGGCGAAGTCGCTACTTTCGATGTTAGTTTTTATTTGAGCAACAGCGAATTAGAAGCTCGCACGTTTAGGCATTCTAGCGTTCGAGGTTCTCTATCTATTAAAGTTCTCAAAATTTTATGAAAATGCTCCATTCTCATACAGTATGGCTTTAAAGTACAAATAAAAAGCGTTTAGAACGTACCCGGCACAGGTCCCTGTATGAGAATGAGACCATATCAAGCTGTCGAGTTGCAACTAACCACAAATATGGTTGGTGCTGAGAAACTGGCGTGTTCCGTTTGAAAGTTTCAAACGGAACACGCCATTTTACTCAGAAATGCCTGTATTCTTTTTATGACTGGTTTGAACTAGTTTTGTGACGTACGTTTGAGCGGTGTCTGTTGTTGCTTACACAACATGGCTCTTAGCGAGATAAGATAAATCTAGGAAATGAAAGAGCAGGATTTAATCTACAAAAAGCTCTTCAACATTACATATCCCGCAGCCCTCAGCAACCTTTTTTCATCGAGTTATGGCTTTTACACCAAAAGCCTCACAAGCAGAATTCGCAGCAACGTTATGAAAAAGAAGAGCTACAACAGACTGATTATCGGCCTAAAGCTGTAGTGTAAAAGTCAGAACTCAAAGAAAAAGATTGCT